CTCCGCAGGTATCACGTGTGGCTGGGCTGGGGGTGGCCCCAGGGGTACCCCCACGTGCTGGGAGGGTCTCGGGGTGTCCCAGGGTTTCTGGGGGACCTACCTCTGGCTGAGAGCTTTTTGGTGTTGATGATCTTGGCGGCGTACTCATGGCCGGTGCAGAGCTTGACGCAGCGCCGGACCACCGAAAAAGCCCCCCTGAGGAGGGACAGGCTCAGTGCCCCCCAAAGCACCGTGGGGGGCGGGCAGGGGGTGGCTCCCACCCGTGACTCAGCACCCGAGGCCAGGGGCTGCACCCGCCGTGACTCAGCACCCGGGGGGTGAACCCTGACACGGGGTGGGGGGGGCCCTGACACCGCTGGGCCCCCGCCACGGGCGCGCTGAGGGGGTGCTGGGGGCGGCTGGGGAGGAGAGGCTGAAGGGGGCTCAGTGAGGGTCGGGGGGGTGGCATCATGCAGGGGGTCGCGGGAAGGATCCAGCACTGGCAGCTCGTTGCCATGGGGACAACGGATGGCCCGGATGGCAGCAGTGGCTGTGGTGGTGGCGGCAATGGTGATGGTGGTGGTGGCACTGGGCACAGGACCCAGCAACGGGTAAGGGGAGCTGGCAGACACCAACACCCCGGGGACAGGGATGGGGACACAGACTGGAAGGGGCACAGCGTGGCCATGCCCACACCAGGCAGCAGCATCCACAGCCCCTCCAAGTGCCAACAGCACCTCTACCCCTCCCATGTCACTGCCTGTCCCCTGCCTGTCCCCTGCCTAAAAGGGTCCTCTCCCCCAGGGGGCTCAGGGCAGCGTCTGGGCCCCACAGAGGGATCCCTACACCAGGCTGGGGACACAGCTGAGCGCAGCAGAACCCTGGCCCTGCCATGGAAAGGGTCCTGTGGGGGACATGTGCGCCCCGGGAAGGGGGGGAGGGCCTGGTTGTCCCCTGCCACCACTCCATGTAGCCATGTCCTGGTACACCGAGGGTCCCTTGCTGGCATGGGCAGCCTCTCACCACCAGAGGAAAAAGGGGGATCACCAGGGCCTGGCATCCCTGTACCCCTGTCCCCTCTCCATGTGGCCCCCAGGACAGGGGACACGGTGGGTGCCAACCCCTGGGTTTCCCCCTCAGTTTCCCCCCAACCAGAGCAATGTCCCCCCAGTCCTGGCGGGGGGGGGACACACACATGCGCGGTGGCTGGCGGGTGACACTGAGAGATGGGAGGGGGGGAACAGGACCGTATTGCCATGGCAACCAGGACGGGCTGGATTTTGGGCAGAGCGAGGGAACAGCCTCCGATGGCACCATGTTCCCGCCCCGGCACCCCCAAAGGGACCACAGGCACCTCTGCAAAATGTTCCCCCTATACGGGGACAGGGGGTTGCACCCCTCCTCACACAGAGATTTGATCCTCCCCTGCCCTGTTTTACTCCCCCCTGACCCCTGCCCATGGATCGGGGTGGGGGGATCTGAACCTCCCCATGGCCCTGGGGGCAAATGAGCCCCTCCCCCCCAAAATCAGCTCCTCTTCAGCTCCCCACAACACCCACCACAGGGGGGGGTCATGATGCTGGGGGGCAGTGGGGGTTGGAAGGATCCAAGGGGGCAGAGGGGGCCCGGAAGTCTTCAAGGCCCAGAGGGGCCAGGAGGGCTGGAGTCTGTAAGGACCCAGAGAGGGGAGCAGATTTGGGGAGTTATATAAGGCCCAAAGGGGTCTGGTCTAATGGGGGCTGGGAGAGGAGGATGGTCTGTAAGGACCAGAGGGGAGAGGGATGGGGGGGTCTATGGAGATGGGGGGGCTAATGGAGATGGGGGGGTGGAGCGATGGGGAGATCCATGGGGGTGGGGGGCAAGGGGGTCCTAAAGGAGGGGGTGGCTATAAAGACTCAAGGACAGTCTGGGGAACGAGGGGTGTCTATAAGGAACAGGGGGGCTGCGAGAATCAGGGAGGAGGTGTCTACTGGAGGAGTCTGGAGGGTTTGGGAGGGCTGCAAGGACCACGGGGGCTATAAGGGCTGGGGGAGAATGGGGGTTGGTAGGGGCTTTGAGGGAGTCTGGAGAGATGGGGGTCTATAAGAAATAGGGGATATGGAGTCATGGGGGGATCCGTAAAGACTGGGGGGGGGAATATGTGGGGATGCACCGGGGTTTGCGAGGATGGTGGGTCTAGAGGAGCAAGGCGGGGCTCTAAGGACTGGGGGGTCTGTAGGAGCCAGGGGCAGAACTGGGAGTGCTGGGGGATCTGTGAGGATTGAGGGGGTTAAGGAGTGATGCAGGGGGGTCTGTAAGGATGGAGGGTCTGTAGGGTCAAGGGCAGCTATAAGGACTGGGGAGGTTCGGGGTGGGGTGTGTAGGGACAGGTGCCTGGGGACTGGGGGAATCTGGAGGGATTGGAGGGGGTCTGGAGTGAGCGGGGCTGGGCGAATGAGGACAGATCAGGGGAGTCTTGGAAGGATGGGGGTCCATAAGGATGGGGGCATCCTTGGGGAACAAGTGGGCTGCAGGGACTGAGGGGGGACTATAGGAATGTGGGGACCCAGAGGAGCCGAGGGGCCCAGGCCGCCGGAGGGGCTGTTAAGGCCCTCGGAGGGGGGCGGTATAAGGGGGGGGCGGGGGGGGGGGCAGGGCCAGGGCGGGGGGGGGGGCGGTGGGGGGGGGGGGGGGGGGCCAGTCCCGGGTGTCCCATCCCGGCTGGGGAAGAGGAGGGGGATGCGTCACGTCTGCACCGAGCGGCGTCCCGAGCCCCGGGCAGCGCCCCCCGCCCCCGCCGCTTCCCGGGGCCGGGACCGGGGCCGGGGCCGCCGCCCTTACTTGCCGATCTCCTCGTAGAGCTGGTACTCGTCGGTGAAGCGGGTGCAGGGCACGGTGGTGGCCATGCTGCCGCCGCGCCGCGCCGCAATGAGCCGCCCCGGCACCGGCTCCGCTCGGCTCCGGCTCCGCCCGGCGCGGGGGGGGGGGGGGGGGGGCGCCGGGCCGGGGGAGGCTCCAGCCCGGGACAGCCCCCGCCGCCCCCCCCTCGCTTGGGATCCCCCCAACCCCCTCCCCGGGGCACCCCCCGCCTCGGACCTGCCCCCGCACGCCGAGGGGATCCCCCTTGTCTCCACAAGGGCCCCATAACCAGAACATTCTCCCCGTCGGGACCCCTTTATTCCAAATCACCCCTAGGAGTGGAGGACCCAGCCCTTCCCCCCAAAGGCCCCATATCCAGACGCCCATCCCCGGGATTCCCCCCTAAATAGCTCTGCATCCAAACCCCGTCCCACAGATTCCCCTCCAGGACCCCAAATCCAGACCCACATCCACGCTCCCCCAAAAGGCCCCACACCCAGATCCCTCCCAAGAATCTCACCACCACCCCCCGAAAGGGCCCCAAATCTGCACCCCCCTCCGGATCCCACATTCTCCCCCTAAAAGACCCCAATATCCAGACAAGCCCCTCGAGTACTCTATATCCATGCCCTGCTTTCCACCTCCCCGGGGACAACCCCTTCATTCTCCCCAATACCGAGGCCACCCCTCCTGCATCAGTTACCCCAAGTAACCCCTCCAGGCTCCAACCCCTCCCTAAGCAAAACATCCGGGAGGGGCCTGGGGGAGGCCAAAAACCCCCCCCACACACACACCCGCCTTCCCCAAGGGCACCTTGAAGCCCCCCAGTGCCAGTGGCAGGATGCGGGGTGGATTTTGGTACGGGGATCACGCACAGAAGGCCTGGAGGCCACCAGCAGTCCCGGAGCCCGGGGTGTCCCCCCCTCGCCCGGTGGGGTGGGCGCGGCCCCCCCGTCGCGGGTGGGCGGCGGGCGGCTGGCGCTGCCGTTGCCATGGGGACCGTGGGCGGGCGGGGGGCCGCGGGCCCGGTGTGCGCATCACCACCGGGAGATGCCGGCACCGGCGGGGGGGGATCCGGGGGCAGCACCCCCAGGGCTGGGTGCCCACCACATCAAACCTGGCCAGCCTGCGGGGATCCCACATCCACACCCCCACACCAAGGACCTCAAAATCCAGCCCCGCCCCTGGATCCCATATTCCGACACCCCCACGCCCAAGGAACCCCAAAATCCAGCCCCCCTCGGGGTATCCTATATCCACCCCCTCCCGGGGATCACAAAATCCACTCCTTGCCCCACAGGAATCCCATATCCAGCCTCCCAAGGAGCCCAACATCCTCCACATGCCCGGGGCCGATGCTGGCAGACGGACACCCCAGGCGTCCTCCTCGGGTGTCCCCGTGCCTCCCCCACAAGCGAGGCGCTGGGGCGGCGGTCAGGCACATTAGTCCCCCAGGGGTGGTACCGAATCACTCGCAGGCCCTCCGTGAGAAATGTGTTTATTGCAAACTGGGGGTGGGGTGAATGGAGGGACAAGGCGACGGCCGGGGACTCCCAGCCTACCTATCCCAGGGTGGGAGGGGCAGTGGGAAGCTGCAAGAGCCGGGCCGGGCCTGGGGGGAGCCAGGGCTGCCACATCCCCCCTCTCAGACCCCAAAGTACCGCGCCAGGGAAGCCCACGTTCCTGGGGCTCCTGCCCACTGGCTGGAGGGGTGGACTGCTGGCTACAAGGGGTGAGTCTGTAGCCACCCCCGAACCCCAGTGATGTGAGGGACACCCCCACTGCTCCCTGCTGACCCCTGGGGAAGGGGAAGCAAACCCTGCAGTCTGGCTGGGGTCTCTGCCCACCCCAGGGTGCCTTGACCACCCTCCAGTGATGGGGTTGGGGGGAAACCAGGAGGAAGACTCCCCCCGGGCTGGGCAGGGGGCAAGGGCAGCACAGCCACCATAGGAGACCTCGGAGTGGGGTTGGCAAGGGGATTTGGGGGTGCCAGGTGGGCAGGGTGCAGGCAGAGTGCAGGCAGGGTGAAGGGCAGGGGCAGGCTCCCCCATGTGTCCCCTCATCCCTGCTGCCTGTACCCAGCACCCAGCCCTGCCCAAGAGGGGCAAAGCTGCCCAGAGTCAGGGCAGGGAAGGCTCCACACCCCCAGAAAACCCAAAAGCAGCATCCTCATCCACCAAAAATAATAATTATGTCACCCGACATGCTCCGTCTATTCCGGAAAAACACAGAGCGTCGGCAGCGCGAGGCAAGGGGAGGCAGGGGAGGAGAGGGGTCTCGGCGCCCGGGTTGCCGTGGTGACAGGATGTAAATCTGCTCGCGCCTGGCTTCCCCGCACTGCACGGATGGGTGCCGGCAGCGTAGAGCAGCGGGTCATGGGCACCGGCACGGAGTGCGAGAGTCCCAGTGGGCATCCGGGAGGTTTCTCCTCTCCCTGCTTCGTTTTTCAGTTGTTTTTGCCACCGTCAAAACTGGACAGCGCCAGGGGAGATGTTGAACATGGAGGGGTCGAACTTCTGGCCACGGAACGGGGAGCCCTCGGTGTCCCAGCCCTTCTTTAGCATCTCGTGCACCTTCTGCAAAGAGGCCACAGGCTCTCTTCAGCCCAGGGTGACCCCACGCTGCCCCTCACGCCCGTTGCCCTCCCCTGCCCCTTGTCCCACAGGTGTCAGGGCTGCGCGGCCACCAGACCAACGGAAGGGGACGTGGGGGACAGTAGCAGCTCCACGTCCACCCTGGTTGGCAGCAGCCACTGCCAAGGGCACACACCACTTCTGCTTCTCCTCACTGCCCAGGAAAGAGCAGATAGCACCCAGGGCAGCACCAGGCAGCTCCTGGATCTGGTTGAGCCCAGACCCATGCGGGTTCATCCCAGAGTAGGGCCAGCTCTGGGGAGAGGCACGCAGATGTGGGACCTGGCAACAGTGCAGGGCATTTGCCAAGATGCCAGGAAGGGGAAGACAGGAATGAGTGGCAAAAGATAGACCAGCTGAACCTCATGCTGCCACAATGTTGATGTGGGGGGACAGTAAGTGAGGAGCTCTGAGATGGAGCAGAGCTGTGGGGCTGCCACATGCTGTACCCTTTTCCTGGGAATGGGACCCTTGGAGAGCCGGTGGGAGGGCCAGGCTGGGCTGGTGGCGCAGGGTAGCCGGCACCTACCAGCTCGTGGCTCTGGGGCTTGCCCTGCAGCTTCTGGTGGTAGTCAAAGGTGAGGCGGTCGAGCACAGCATGCTCCTCCTCATCCACTGTAGCCATGGAGCGCTCTTTGTTGATCTTGTCAATGTCGATCTGCTCCTCGCCCTCCAGGATAGCATTCCACCAGTACTCGTCCCCCTTGTTCAGGTTGATCTAGGGACAAGGTGTGGGTCAGGGAGTAGGGAGAGGAGCCCCCATCCTGCCCGGGACATGGTACCCCGGCCCATTCCACAGCTCCAAGGCAGCGATGCAGAGCTTGGCCGCGCTGACAGCAGCACGGGGCCTGCCCAGGAGCAGAGGTCCAGCTCACACAGATCCAGCCCTGTGGCTGGCAGAGGTGGAGGGATGCTTGTGCCTCCCTCCCTCAGCAGTCCAAGGGTTTTGCACAACCCCACCACAGCCCTCCGCAGCCCCAGCTCAGACCCCGGGGCTGAAATTCTGTCCACACCATGGCTCAAGGCCAGGACCAGTGTCCCTCAGTGGTGTACCGCCCACAGGTGACACCAGCCCAGGGCCGCACGGCTGACTGAGCAGCAGCAACAGAGCCCAGGACTGTTGGACAAGGAGACTGTGTCCGGTGGAGTGTAGGGCTGGGCCTGCTGGTGTGGCCTTTCTCACCTTTCTCTAAACCAGAAGGAGCCCTGGTCTCAGTTCTCCTGGCATTGGCTCTGTGGGTGGCAGCGTGGGTGATAAAGGAGGTGAGAATGTGCTACCTCAGCTCACTGCCAGCACCTGCTTCCCGTGGCACCATGGCTTGGCAGCAACCCGAGGGATGGATGAGGATGCTCCAGACAATATCCTCACCGGGAAAAGCCGTTGGCCGTAGCCGCAGGCATCCCTGATGCAGTGCCTTGCATGGAGCTGGCTGGCTGGAGGGGTTGTGCCAGGGCCAACGTGGGGCATCTCACACCAGGAACTCCGACTTGCTTTTTGTTTTTCCAGGAAGAGGGAGCTGCTTCCTCCTATGTTATTTTAGCACTAATCCCAGCAGCAGGGCAGATTTATGACATTCATTGGGCTCTGCAAAATCATCAATAAAGGCAGACAATACAATTTGCTCAAAACTCCCTGGAAGCTCAACGGCTCCGGAGGGGAGAACACAAGCAGCCATTCCCATTACAAAGCCAGGCATCTCCGCAGTGTGAAGAAAAGGAACCAATTAATACAGGAGGGGGTGGCTGGGGCTTAATCCTTCTGGGAGAGCAGAGCCGGTAAAATATTCCAGCTTGGGGAAGGCGTTAGTTTTTCCAGCTAGACAGGCATGCTTGTTCTCCTTTTAATTGCACAGTTCCACTTTGGAAGGGAGGGAGAGCTGCCAAGGGTTTGCTCCTGGGCTTCCCAACCCTGGGTGGGCAGGCAAGGGAATGACAGGAGCCCCCGGAACATCACCCCTCAGCCAGCAAGCCAAGCGGATGGGCAGCAGCCCTGGCCTGCCCATGCCTGCAGCAGGAGCATCCTCCAGGCTCCTCAGGGTGTGGACTATGAGGAATGTCCCCACAGTGCTGGTGGGGTGTGAGCTTCCCTGGTGATGGCTCCACCACAAGCCATGCTCCCACAGCATCGCTGGGGAGTATGCGTGGCTTGGTACATCCCTACCAGAGGCAGCCTGATGGCAGAAGAACAGACAGGTGCTGCAGGAGTTCAGGCATCACCCCATCTCCAAGCCAGAGTACTGGAGTATGGAAAACTCACCCCAGAGCACCTGGGGATGGAAACACATCCCTCCTCCCTTCCCTACCAAATCTCATTCCTCTGCTGGTGCCCTGCCACCACCCGCACACCTCTGCAGCCTGCCTGGGGAGATTTGCTCAACCCTCTTTATTCCAGGGGGAGAGCTGCCAAAGTGGGACTCACTCCAAGGTGGGAGCCCCACTTTCTGATGTGAAATGCTCACGGTCCAGGGCAAAGGTTGCTCTATCCCTGTGAGTTTGGGGCTTCGTGGTTAGAGGCAGTGCTGGAGCACTCACCGTGGACAGGTCTCACCTCCAGCATGGGGGACATGGACACGGGTTGATTTCCTGGACTGTGTCTGCTGATGTTCTCTGTGGAACCAGCCCATGCTTGGCTGAGCATCTGGGCTACAAGAGCTTGCAGTGACGGAGATGCAGCTGGTGCCCTTTCCAAGCGCTTTGGGTGCCCAGAGGTGGAGGTAAGGGAGAGATGAGAGGCTGTGGCAGGTCTCTGGGTGATGCCCCCCACACACCAGCCCTCACCCACCCACCCACTGAGGAGGCGCTGGCATTCGGCTGACAGCCCCCCATGAGGCTGCAGGCACCCTCAGGGAGAGCTATGGAAATGGGGGCTCCAGGAGGGAGCAGGGCTTTTTCCACAAGGACAAACCCTGACTGATTATGTTTGTCGCTTCTAGACAAGGCAAAGCTTTGCTGCACTTGACACTACTGCTATGAGTTTCCCAGCCAACAGCTTGGGCTGACCCCCCCCAGCACCCCAGAGATGCAAACAGCCACTTGCCAGAGGAAGGATGAGGTCCCTGCAGCGTGTCCACACCTTTGGCCAGGCTTCAGATCTGCCTGGTGGGTCCCAAAGGCATAAAAGCCCAGCTGAGTCTTTTGGGGTGCATAGGGAGGGAGGAACAGCCTCTGCAATGGCGGCCTGAGGGGAGGGAGGATCACAGGGGGCACACTCCAATGCTCTATCCTAAGACAGCAGCGTCCTCAAACTGAAGCACTCACTTCCCACAGCCAGTGTCCAAAACATGTCTCAGCCACGTAGGGAAGGGCTGTTCCATGGAAAAGGACAGGGGTAAGGACAGATTATGAGGAATGACGAGACAGTCGGCAGGAGGGACTCTCCAGCAGGTGAAAGGCGTCACTGGCATGGACATGGCATCATGTCCCATTTCCACACCCTGCTGGGAAGGTCACGACCCCTCATTGTCAGTGCCGGGCTTTGCCATAGCACGAGGTTTCTTCTCCAATCCCAAATACCTTCTCAGAGCTGGAGAGATGCTGCCAAGGGGTCTAAGAAGGTCTTGGGGAAACAACCTCTCTCTGCCTGCTTTCCTACTGGAACCACAGCAGCCCAAAGTCACCCCAAAAGTCACTGGGAGGTGTTTAGGGGGACAGGAGAGGCAGCAGTGGCATTCCTAGCACTGTGTGGAGGGCAGGGCTGAGAGAGGCATCACGGAGTTGTGTCCCCTTGGCCTTGTGGCTCAGGGGATGACAAGCCAAGACTGTAGTATGTGTTCAAGGCAGGACTTGGTGACAAAAGCCCAAGTGTGGATAACAAAGGCTGAGAGGAGGAGAAATAGAGAGGGAAATGGGGAAAAAATTCTCCACAACGAAAATAATCCCAAATGGTGTTGTGCACAACACCCAACGGGGACTGCTAAAAACAGCTCATGCGAGGTTATTTTAATCTCGCTTTCGACAAGCGAGCGGGTGTGACGGAGAAAGGAGAGCACAGGGATGACACCCAGGGCCAGGGTACGGTGCAGCACTATGGGCAGGGGCACCATCCTGGGACACAATCCTGAGGAGGAGGAGGAGTGGATAGACCCCTGCCCTGTGTCAGCAGAGCACTCCACTGCAGAATGACACCAGCTGAGTTTTGCTGCCACACACGTGGCTGTGCCAAAGGATGAAATGAGAAACATGCTGGTGTCAGGCTGGCCTCCAGCCAGGAGAACCCCATGGAGCAGAAGGGGGAAGGCAGAGTGGCCTCTGAATGCTGGTGAGGGGAGTGCTGTGGTTGCTGGAGAGGGAGTGACATGTAATAAAGAGGACACATGGATAAGACCGCCAGGCAGGATGGGGAAAGCAGAGCTTAGAGGGGTTGTAAGGCAAGATAATCTTCCCAGGATAAGAGCTGGAGGAGCAGGGAGGCTGGTTTTGGAGCACCTGTGAATGGCATCCCAGAAGGGAGGAGGACAGGGAGGCCAAGGATGATGAAAGAGCTGTAACAGCAGCCTGGAGAACAGGGGGTTGACAATCCCTGACATGTCCTGCAAGAGCATAGGGAACTCAACAGCCTCTCTGCACAGAGCTGGGATCTTCCCAGATGGACAGGACCAAGCAGGAGAGATTTCACCCCCTTGGTGCACAGACAGAGCTCTGCTGTAGGGATCACCTCAACTCACAGAACACGAACACGCAGCACCGAGGAGTCCCAAGCAGTCCCCAAGGTGGGCAGGATCTCCTCAGACAACCCCAGCACTGGCACTGGGTGAGTTTGGTTTTGGCTGCATCATCATCCTGCCAGGGAATGCCATCCCTGGGTCCCATGGAGGCAAGCCAGGCAGCACCTTGCAAGAGGAAGACATCCCCAACAGCTGCATTTGAAGCTTACACGGAGCTATACGTGAACTGGGGTACAGAAAGGGTCTGTACGCCCCGTCAGCCCCAACCAAACCCCAACAGCCCCATCCAGGCGCTGAACAAAGCAATTCATTCCCACAGGGTGGGTGTCTCCTGATGAATGAATCAGGAGGAGTCGCAAACCACTTCTGGCTACTCTGAGCATGGGAAAAGGAGATGCTCCTGGGCAAGAATTACTCAACTCTGCTCCAGTTACCTTACAGTTCTTCAAGCGAGATCTCATCCCACCATCAATATGTTGGCAACCAGCTGGAGATCCTCACAACCCTGGGTTCATGCTAATTTGAGGCAAGACCCAGCTCTGGAGTTGGGGGTGATGGGCCCACTCTGCTCCCCATGCTGCCTATGGCCACTTCAGAAGGCCCCAAGTCTCGCTCCGCCCACACCATTCCCAGCCTCTGACGGATATTGAAGACCCATCGCCTCCCTTGCTGATCCTGGGAACACCCACCCGGGACTCCCTTCCATGCTGGAGAGCAGCCACCCGTTGGGCCATCTCCTCTTCAACAAGTTTACACTTTTCCAGGATTGTTTCTTTTCCCAGATTAGCTAATTTTCAAGATGTTTATGAACATTTACAAAATGCATGTAAAAGAAGCCACAACCTCCTTTTCCACATCCCTCCACACCTGACAGCATCGGAGAATCTCCTCTCCCTTGCAGGGACCTCATTCATCCTTTTGGCACCAGCCTGTCACTTGGGGTACATCCCTATGGATTGGCAGTGGCTGGGTGACACTGAGCAGCCACCCTACACACCATCTGCAGCATTCCCGAGTCTGGCAGCACATTCCCACTCCATTTCCCACTCAGGGGGCTTGGATTTGGGTGCCCATCTGCTGACACTCTTGTGTCATGGGGTGAAAGGCTTGGCCCTCCCCCACAGGGATGCCACGTATCCCCTCCTGGGTCTAACGACAGCCTTGGGACTCCTGAAACTCTACTGGGAAAGTCTCTGCTTGGAACAGGATAGCGCAAAGATGGCCACAGGAAGCAAAATCCCACTCCCAGCACAATCCTGGCCCCCAAACTGGCACGGGAGTCTGGGAACTGTTTGACGCTTGAGATCCCAGGGTGATGGGTAGAACCCCCCAATAGCTCCAGCTGTGGACACAGGTGAACTCACACCCTCAGCCTGCACATCTGGATCACACCAGAAACAAGGCTTGGGGCTGGGAATCCACCAGGAACACACAGCTGAGTGCCAGCAGCCCCTGGACCACTTGGACAGGGATGATTTGGGGCAGCAGTCACACAGCAAACCACAGGCCTGCTGAAGGCAGAGAGAGAATGAGGCACAGTGTCCACTTCAAACAGGTTAAGTAGGAATCCCATGGCAGGACAGAAAGGAATGGCAGGGAACAGGCACCTGCCAAGATGCCGGGGCCAGAGCAGGGCCAGGAGAGTGGGAGGGCAGAGGCACCAAGGCCAGGTGTGCAGGACTGGCGCTGCAGTGCAGGGCCATGTGCTGGGATCGGGGACAGTGATGACCCCCAGGTAACAGCTGTGCTCCCCTGCCTGCAGCTGGAGCTGGGGATCCCCTCGCCCAGCCTGACAGATGTGCTGCTCAGCCAGCACCCCGAGGGGCACCTCAGGAGCAGGAGGCAAGGCACGGCACACAGGAAAGGGCAGCATGAGCCAGATGTTGGACAGGCAAAGCCAGACACATATCTTTTCCCAGAAAAGAAGCCTTTTCTTGAGCCTTTTCCACCTGGCTCAAACTTCCAGGTGCTGCAGTTTCCCAGGTCAAGCCTAGTGCAGTTGCAAGCCAAGGAGACATGGCTGGTGCAGACTGCCCTTACCAAAATGCACTTCCCGGGCTCCAGGCTCCACAGGGAACTCTCCGTATTGATCTTGTGGGTGAGTTTCCCTTCCATGAGGACATGCTGGCTGCTCCCCTCCAGCACCGCTACGCGAATTGTGCCACTGCTGATATCCACAGACACCTGGAAACACAGAGAGAGAGACAATAATCCGGAGTGTTCCTGCTTGCCCTCTCACTGTGTGAGCTGGGGTGTGGGGTCAAGTGCACTCGCCAGGGATGAGAGAGAGAAGAGCTTCCAGCACTGCCTGTAGCGGGAGGGTGGGAATTCCGCTGTCATCTCATAGCAAACAGCGACAGCTTGGAGGAGTGAGGGAACCTCTCCAAGGAGGAAAGGCAGCACAGCTCAGCAATTGGAGCCCTTGAAGGATTCGAGGCAGCTGGTTCTACCCAGTGCCTCAGTTTCCCCACAGAGAAAATGTGTACCTGTAATGCTACAGGCCTCCACACAGCACTCAAAGGTTGGCACCTACTTACTGAGGCTCTTTAGGAGCAGGTTGTGTGCCCGCCACCATGACAAGCTGGGCATGGGTGTGTGTCGTCCTGGAGACCGAGCAGGGGCAATTTGGGGGGGTTCCTACACCAGGGCTGCAGCAGCTCGTTCCCCCTTTGCTGCACCATGCCGAAAGCAAACTCCTTGGCTCTGCTTCCGCTGCTGGAGCCAGCTCTGGGCTTGGCCCAGGCCTCCCATCAGGCATGCGAGGAGGGGCCGCGTGCAGGAGGAATGCTGCGGCACAGCTCCCCGGCACGGCTCCCCGGCTCCCTGCGACGGGGACAGCTCCGTCCCCAGGAATGGGGCCAGCTCCCGCCCACAGCAGCCATATGGGGAACCCTGCTCCGACCTGCCGCGCAGGTGACATGGCTGTCCCCCGGGGAGACAGAGGCAGCCTGTGACAGGCACGCAGTATCCTTGGTCTCCGGAGAGACCATATGCTCTCTCCTGTCCCCTTCAGCGCTGAGCTGCTGCCAGCAGAGCCCGCACCAGGCCAGGGGTTGCAGGGAAGACCTGGCTGGGAAGGGGCAGGATTGTGGCCCCCGGCACTGGCCCGAGAGGAGGAGACTGCGGTGAGATTTGCCTGCATTCTCTCCCAGAGTTCCCCCAGATCTTCCTCCCGCTCTGCAGATCTCATTTGAAATGTTATTACATTATCCATTACCTAGGAGATTTCCAGCGGCTCACTAGCTCCATGCAGGCAGGAGACAGGCAGAGCTGCTCCAGCAAGGGAGGGCACCATGGCTGTATCTGACTGATGTCACCTGGGTACAGCCCCTGAACCTGCTGTGTGTGACAGGGAGCTGCCGGGGCTCTGGCAGGAGCAGAGGAGGCCCAGCACACACAGCACAGGGTGACACAGGACTAAGCTCTGACACAATAGTGGGGAGCAAGACCACTGTCACCGGGGATCAGGGAAGGAACATGAGGATGGGAGAGGACAACTGGCTGTCAGCCGGCATGTGGCTGTGGACAGCCTCTACGAGAGCAGCTGCTCCTGGATGGGAAACACCTCCAGAGGGGCTGAGCATGGAGCAGCTCCCTCCAGCCCAGGGCTGAGGTCTCACTTCAGGGATGAGGCGTGAGGATGAGGCTCTGCCTTCCGCCCCCACTACCCACCCAGGTCCCCGGGTGCAGGGACAGGGCTGCTGACGCCGGGCTCTCAGCACAGCACAGGGCCTGTCCAGAAGGGGTCCAGGGAAAAAATGGAAGGTGACTCCCAAGTCACCTTCTGAGGGAGCTTCTTTGTGGTGTGGAGGGTCAGGGAGGCTGGACACATGGAAGGCACAGATGCAGCATTGTGGCTTTGGGGTTCACAGGGAGAGGAGTAACCAAATGTGAGAGGGGTTTTATTCCCAGTACAAGGCAGCTTTGGAGCTAAGGGGCAGCTTCGAGGTGGCTCTGGGACCAGCCAGGTGTTCGGAGAGGGAGCAGAGAAACCCAAGTGGAAGAAGGGATCCAAACTGGGCAGCCTTCACCCAGTCCCTTCACTGTGCAAGCAACCAGAGTGAGAAGCAATTGCAACACCTGTTTCTATAACTGTGCCCAGCAAGAAGGTCCCGCCGGCACACCAACCCCCCAAGAGCAGGGACAGGGTACAGGGGCAGAGCACACCCCACTGGAGAGCCCTGCCCCTCTGTGCATGGAGGGACATCTCTGAGAGGACTCACATATGCACAGGGTGGTGCCTGTGGACAGTCCACACCTGGGGGAAGGCCAAGAGCAATCCCGCAAGGAACACATCACCCTGAAAGCACTCCAGAGGCTTCAAGGCTGCCTGTCCCTTGCCATGCACTCCCCATGAGCACCTCTGACCCCCAAAACACCTGGTTGACTCAGTGCTTCCAAGGAAAGCCGGTTCTCAGCTCTGTGCCATGGCTTTTACACCACAGCGATTTCTGTGCACACGGAACGCCCACACCCGCCCACACAGACCAAACAAGCAAACACAAACTGAGAGGAATCAAGCTTGTCTCCTCCAAGTCCAGCAGAGAGAGAGGCCTAGAATCATTATCTCTATTTAAGCGCTAGGATTGGTGGGCCTCTGTTGCACCCATAAGTAGATCAGATAGGTGGGGACCAGGGAGAAAGATGCTCCCACCTACTCCATCGTCCTGCTCCAAGGACACTTTTTTTGAGCTCCATACAAGGAAACCTTAAGCTCACCAGAGCAAAAATGTGCCATAGCAACAGCCCAAATCCCAAAAAGTGTCATAAGGAAGACTGTGAGCAGCATTAGAGCTGGGCAGACTCTGAGCCCAGGGACCAAATAGGGAGATTTTTAATCTCACTTGGGCAGGCAAAAGCCAAAAACCTGATAATTTTTTAAAAATATGAAGGTGTGTGAATGCAGGGGAATGCTGCTCTTATACAGGAACCCATCAACAACACGACCAAAGTCCATGGAGCTTTATAATGGCTCTGCACCTTCCTGCTCTGGCCCAAGACTCAGCCTGTCTGCTCCCATTCCCCCGAGGCTGAAGAAGAATTAAAGAATCACTTGGAAATGGAAACTCATCTGCCAAGGGGAGCCCCAAGAGGGATGAACAAACACCAGGAGACAGAGCACAAGGACAAGGGAAGTCCAGCATCTGAACAGCCAATTGCTCCGAGGGCAGCATGGGCAGACATCAGGGCAAGGGCAGGCAGAGTTGTGTGCCCAAGGGCACTGGTGTGGGAAGGGGCTGTCCTGAAACCCCCTCCACTCTGAGGCGCAGAGACTTTTCCACAGTGATGGCAAGGTCTTGAGCCAAGGAAAGGTCAAGAAAGTGGATCTTGTCTCCGCTCCCATGAGCTCCTGCAGGCCCCTGCACCATTCCATGGCCAAGGACAGGGCAGACAGAGCCCAGTGTGGATTTTTTGGCAAGGACACAACTCCCCTGGCAAGGAGGGCACTTTTCCATGGGCAGGGAGAGGCATTGTGATCACAGTACGATGCAGAGGAATGGAACATCTGTCTGGATGGGCCGGAATCCTTCCAAGAAACAGCCTGGGTTTGTTTTAGAGACCTGCTGGGAGAGAGGCATCTCCCAGGGCCCTGCTGTGCCTGTGGCAGCCGTGTGCTCCCTCACCCCTCCGGCCCAGGCTGCTGCTGCTGCTGCTGCCAGTGACACTCCTTGGCATGCTGAGGAGCTGTGTAGGCTGGAGCCGGTGACAAACCCCAGTGTGCTCCTTTCAGCCACCCTGGAAGCAGAGGAGAGCAGGAGGTGGGGGAGCACAGGCTTCCCAAATGGAAAAATACAGAATCAGCCATGGGGAGGGCAGCACTCGAAAGAGTTTGAACTTCTGGGTCCAACTAAGACCAGCCATGGGAGGGAACAGAAGCAGTGAAGGAAAAACAATGTGACCACAAGCAGAGAAGAGAGGTTCCTGCCTGAGCCAAGCAGGAACCTCTCTGCCTCTTGCCCACACAGCCAGCCAAGGAGAGGGGTTGGCCCTCAGCCTGTACCCCAGACCAGCTCCCTTCCACCCAGACCAGGTCAAGCCACACACAGGCTGTGCCTGATGCAGTTCTGCAGTGCCAGAAGAGCTGCTCCAGCAGCTCCTGCTTCCAAATGGAAGGCACCAGAGGCACAACTGAGGAAGGGGCATCCATCAACAGCCAGGCTCTGAAACCCATGTTTGAGTGTGAAGGTGATGGAAACAGAGAGAAAAAGTGCAGAAAGGGCCAGGCAGTGCCAGAGAGCCTGGCTGGGACAGAGCAGAGGACACTGCAGCTCAAAAGGAACATGAGCAGGCTGGGACTACTGCTCCCCACCAGACACACACCAGAGAAAAAAGCACAACCACATCCTTCTCTTGGAGTACAAAGGACAAGGAGCCTTCTCATTCCAAACACAGCTTCCCAGGAAAGCTGGGCACCCTGACGGAAAGGGAAATGCTAAAGACACACCAGTAACAGCACTTTACCTGTTTGCCTTTGATGATGTGCTTGGGCACAGGCACTTTAATTTCCAGGTCGCTGTAGTCTTGGGACCAGGTGTAATTCTCTCGCACAGCTCCATTGTAGCTGTCAGGGTTTGTCTGGAACTGTTCCTGTCTCCTGGTGGGGGGAGAAAGGGGTGACATGTTAAAGATCAGAGCCTGGAGAGAGCAGGAAGCCTGAAAGCAGGATGCAAGAAGCCCAAAGGAAGGGCATAGACCCTGCTCGGCCGTCCTGCAGCATCCCCAACACTGGGCTGCTGCCCAGCCTCTCCTTCACTGCTGCTCTACATAAGGGAGCAGGTCCAGGTCAGCAGCCCCAGGACTCAGAGGGACCTTGGCCACCCTGCCTGTCACGGGTGACTCGCAGTTCCCTCACCCCAGTGTGCCACAGTGGCAGTCAGGCTGCTGACAGGACAACTGGTGAGACACAAAATGGTTTGGCTGCCCACAAGGTGCAGAGCTGGCCCCTGGTGGGCTCAGGGCGCCTTTCTGGCCACCTCCACTCAGTAAAGAGCTCCTCGTCCCGTCCACCTTCCATCACAGCTGGAGCAGGGACACTGGCATGTGATGGGGGGGTGTGGGCTGTCCCCCAAGCCACTGCCATGCCTGCAGAGGTGGTGGCCCATGGCTGTGACCTGGGTTCACTGTGAAAACACAGCACTGTTTTTCCCCATCCTGATTATAGTGTTTGAGAAAGCCACCAGCTGCCATGACCAGGGCAGTTGGTGACACAGAGGTGATGGAGCTGTGGAGCAGGATGCCTGAAGAACCAGCCCAGGGTGCCTGAAAAGTGGATCATGAGCAACACTCTGAGCACAACACTGCCTCTTCCAGCTGTGGAAACCTCAGGAAAGCCAAGGAGACAGCTGCAGGGGTAAAATGGGGTTTATGAGATCGATAAGCAATAATTAATACAGTGTTTCTAGCCAAGAAAGGAAATTGCCACACCTATGTCCCTTTCAGCTGCTGGGCTGGCAATCTATTCCACCAAACCCTCCCAGGGAGGGCTTTCAAATAAAATCAAATCTCCTCTAAAGATAGCTGCAATGCTAACAAAAGGCAGAGTTATTTTAAAATGTTTTGATACACACCTAGACTTCAACGTGGAGCTGGATAAACATGGGGCTCAGGGACTTACGTAAGGGGGGCCAGTGAAGAGCAGCCCCAGGGCACAGTCGGCCCTGGGGAGCACATCTCCCCGTGTCCCGCTGCCTTCCTGACACCCCCACACTGCGGGACCCTCTCCAGCACTGGGCGGGGGTGGCTCCAGCAGCACGGCACCCTGAGGATTATGTAAGACCCAACGATTTTAATTAAATTAGGCTGTAAGACGGTCGGAGGGGGCTGTCAAAGGCGCTGTACACACCTCCCCCTTTTTTTTCTCTCAGTGGTTTCACGGAGTGCACTGAGGGTTTCACCCACCCTGTTACACACACCTGTGGCCCAGGGTGGTTCTGATCTGCTTCCAGGCATTGCAGGCAGCACTGGAACCAGCAGTATCTGCGGGCTCCCACCCTCAGCTGGCCATTTTGGGGGGTACCACATCATTTTTCAGGCATCTTGGCCTTGCCTGGCAGTCACCCATTGGGTGCCCATCGCCATGGAAACGGGGTTGGCATGGCAGCGCGCACCGGGCTGGCGCGTTGGCTCCAGCTGTCGCTTCCCAACCGCCCCCAGATTGTAGGAGTTGAACAGGCTGGAGGGTGAGAGGGGGAATGGTGCAGGCGACCAGGGGCTGTGGTGACAGGGTCTGCGGGGCCCCACGCGCACTCGGCGGGAAGCAAACACACTGAAACGCAGCAGCACGTCCCCAAGCACCATCTCACGTGTCCCCCGATCCCCACCCAGAACCAGCCCAGCGGTGGCACCCAGCTTCGTTCTCAGGGCACAACTGTCCCAGAGACCACCCCACAACAACCCCTGGCAGGGAGGAGGGTCTGTGTGCAGCCTGGGACAGCTTGGCTGGTTAAGTGCCCTCACAGGACTTGTCCCCATGCTGTGGGGTCTGCCCAGGCATGGCAGAACTTCACAGGTCTCCTGCCCTCTATCCCAGCTTGGCGAACCACCCCTCCACACTCACATGGTGAACCAGAGGATAAACCTGTCCTGATGTTAAACCCAGCTGGTTTTTTTCCTCCTAAAAGGGTGTTTCCTGCTAAGTGGTGTGGGCCCCTTTCTCCTCCTATGTGACCTTCAGGGGCAGCAGTGTGGGGGGCTTTTCAACACCCCACAGTCATACCCACAGCACCCTTCAGTTCTGTGCAGCCTCCCTTCATGAGAAGCCCAGCTTTCCAGCACAGTGGTCACTCCAGCCAAAGCACAGCCCACTCTGCTCTTCCCAAACCTGCCAGCAAGACACCTGGGGGAAGGTAGGTCAACTGGGAGTTGCCATCACAAGTGCCGGTGGCTCCCCGCAATTAGCAAAGAACCAGACAAGAATCAACAAAAGGCTGTTCCCCTTTGGGCCTTTCCTGGGAAGAACTCAAGGGGCGCAGGAAGAGGCGGAGGGCCCGTGTCAAGCCAAGGCTTGTGAGAGCAGATGCAGAGCATCAGAGATGGGAGAAACCCACCGGTGCAAACGCACACATGGTGAGATACCAGCTGCAAATGCCTCATGGCCTCAGCACAGATAAATACAGCAGCCACTCGCTGCCACAAAGCCACCAGGTCTGTCCTGGATATGCCTCCTCTTCCTCAGCAGAACAGCACTGGGGCTGAGCAGATCCCAGCCAGGCAGTTCTGGATGTTGTAGCCCCTCTCAGAGCTTACTCAGCATGAACTCAAAGCAGCCCCAGAAGCAGCCACCCTGCGTGACTTCCAAAGGGAAACTGAGGCAGAACTCATTCTGCAAGGACTATGTCCAATGTCTGTTTGCACAGTGTAGCTACTGTGCAGGTGACAGCCGTCTTCCTCCCAGTCCAGCCATCCCTGCAGGACAGCTCTGTCCCAGCTCCCCCTGACATAACTGGAGCAGGGCTGGGTGACAGAGGGATGTGTCACAGACACCTCTGCCTCCACGTGCAGCTCGCTGGATAAGCTCGGCCCTGCTGCCTCGGCCTTGCAGCCCTGACAGCCTGGCTGGGCAACATGTGCCTCAGCCCTGCTCATCCAGCTTCAGAGGGAGAAGTTCCCCCTCATGCCTAAACCACTCACCAGACGTGGCTACCTGTCCTGAGGGCGTGGGTTCTGATGCCATCGCTTCTTTGCTCCTCTCTGCCCCAACACCCAGCCCAAACCGCTCCAGCCCTTCCCCCAAGACACCACCAACCTCTGCTCCAGCCATTTCCAATGTTAAAAATCCATGGATGTGAAAGTAAATGGGCTTTGTGTCCCAGAACAGGATCACAGTGGGACTCATGAAGTCTGGATAATTCCCCTGCAAGTGTAAACACTGGCTCTGAAGCCATGGAGGATCCAGGGTAGTGAAGGCAGGCCGCAGCCTCGTTAGGTGCTGCTGACAAACAGCTGACAGCTCTACCACCTCCGGAGCAACTCTTCCTTTCCTGGAGTTTTTCCAACCAGATCTCTGCCCGGTCCAACTGTGCTTAGCACATGCCGGCAGCAGTCCAGAATTGGACCCTGCTCCTTTGGCTGGGAGGCAGCTTCCCTCATCCTCCGCAGGAGACAGCCCTGGCTCACGGCACGCTGGGCTGAGCCATGACGCCATGCCGGAGGTGGCTCTCCTGGCCAAAGGCATCCCTCATGCCACTTCAACAGCACCACTGTGCAGCAGGTGAGAGAACCTCTGGCACAAACAACACAGCTGGGAGCTGTCCCCATCCCCAGACCCACCAAGTGAAGAGGGAGGCCAGATCCAGTGCACAGGGCAGGTTGGGTGGCGATCATCCCAGCAGCATGGCTGCTCTCGGTGCAATGGTCACTCACCGGGCTGTCGGAATGTCTGCCAGGCCAAGGCAGGTGGTGGCAGGGCTGAGGGGAGGGAGGGTGACAAAGCACCAGCTTTTAAACCTGAGACTTTGGCACCGCATGCACTTGGCTGCCGAGTGGTGGGGATGGTGGGGGTGGGTCTATGTGTTCTGTCTTGTTCTATTTTTGCTTGCAATGTGTCATTTTGGGGGAGGTGAAACCTTTAACAATGCACTGTCGAGAAGTAGCCGATCTGTTCCCCACTCCTCAGAGCTGCACAGCACAGCATGGGTGCGCTGTCCCTGGGACCAGAGCCACTCCCTACATGCAGGGTGAGACCCTTGGCAGCAGCACAAGGGGACAGAACTCCCTGAGATGTGGTAGTTCTGGCCCTGGCAGGCAGGCTGGATGGCTAAGGGTGGGGCCACATGTCGAGCCCCATACACAGATTTCTGGGTATTTCTTACTCTGGGATTCCCAGCTCCGTGGGTTGGTGATGCTCAATGAGCCAAGCAATGTGGAAATGGTGACAGTGATCCTCGCTCTGTGGACACTTGGCTGAACACGTTTCTGTCCTCGGAGCCCAACAGCTGTGGCACCAGCTCTGTGAAAGCAGCGTTGGACACGAATCAAGAGAAGGGACCAAACACACCAAAGGATCTGGTTAATGTTTGATTCAAGGAGAAGCAGCACAGCTCATTGATTTCCTCTTCTCTGAGGAGTTTGGGTGCAAGAATGCAAAAGTTGAGGAATAGACACAGCAGCACGGGAGCAGCTGTTCTTCAGCCTGAGGCTCAGGAGGAGCAGAGGTGGGAAAGCGTCATGGGAAGGAGCTAATATGGGCATAATCCCAACAAACTTTTTTTTCCCATAAAAAAGAAGGAAAACATCCCAAGGATTTTCAGAACTTAAGGAAACTAATCCTCTCAGCCTAGAGCAGCTCTGCTTTGCGAGGCAGGACTCCTGTCCTCTCAGGAAGGAGGCTGACAGAAGTCTGGGATACCTGGATCCGAGTCAGGCATGCCATGGCTCAGTGTCCGGTACAGCAAGTACCCTCTAGTCACTGTCATTCTCAGAAAGCTTCGTCTGGGGCTGGCACTGCTGTTTGCTCTTAGTCAAGGTAAATTATTTAGGCAACTTTAAAGAAAACATGTCAAGCCAGATGTGAAGGTGGGTGGATAAGAGAAACAACCGCCACAGCTGAAACTGGGCAGTGGAACTGGCCAAGGCCAAAGGGGATGATACGGGGAG